GGGCCGGGCCCCTCCTAGGGCTGCTTGAGGCTGCCGATAACATGTTCAGCGAAGGAATCTAGCAGGATTTATTTAGCTCCTTTACTCGTGCCCCGGCAGCGAAGAAGCATACTTAGAAGCAGCCTGTGATGCGCTTCTAAGAAATCATTGTGAATACTGTTCTTTGTTATACTAGGCCCATGTATACCCGAAAACCATGTTCTACTGATTCAAGCTCCTATGCTTTCCAGCACTAAATTTCTCCAAGCTTTCGCATAAGTCTGGAGTTCATATGGTTTGGGGTTCCAACTCTGGCACGCGGCTTGATATGCGTCTGCGTATCATGGCTTTCCAAACCTAAAAGCATTTCCCAGGACCCTCCTTGTACCCTTCAAATGGGGGTTTCCGCAAATAGGGGACCCTAATATAGTACCCTAAATAGTAGGATCCAAAAAAATGGACCCCAAAATAAGGTACCCATTATTTCGGAAACTCCCAAATAGGGGCATATGGTCCTTAATAATGGGTACTTAGGGTCAGGGTCGCATGGAGTCGAGGCTCCTCGATAAAACCCTCCAGAGCCTTACATAAAGTCTGGCTTCTGACACCCTAACCCTCCAGGTACCTACCATACAGGGCCCTAGGGGCTCTAGTACCTTCTATAATAGGTACCTGGAGGCTTAGGGACAATTTCGGGACAACCCCGAAACATCCTACGATACCCATAAATCCTACACCGCACCACGGAGAACAGAACAGCAAGCCTCCCAAACAAGGCGACACTTCGAGCTCCAGCAGGACCCAACAACAACTGAAACCCCAACACGATTCTAGGATTCAGGTTAGGGTTTAGGGTTTACCTGGACCCCAAGAGTATGTAGAATAATAGCCCTTTTGCATATGACTTTGCCTGTTTTTTGGGGGTTTAGGGTTTGGTTGGGTTGCAAGTAGTTTAACCCTAAACCCGTATCGGAACCCAGGAAGAAGAAGGAAGGCGAGCGGGGCAAGTCCCGGGACAAAACGCCAAGTGGGAGGAGGAAGTGACCCTGCGCAGAAACGGCTTTTAGGGTTTAGGAGTTCAGGGTTCAGTGCAAGAAGCCCTCAACCCCACCTCTTAACCCTTAACCTGAAACTCTAAACCTGATCTCAGGGCAAGAGTGTTGCGGGTTTTGGGGTTTCCGGGCCTATGCATAGTTTGAAGATTTAGTCTCCTGGGCTTGGAGTTTTGAGGGTCCAGTAGGTTAGAACGGAAAGAGGGAAAGCCGTGGCTAGTGCCCTGCTATGCATGCTAATGCCAGGGTTTGCGATTTAAAATTTGGGTTTGGGTTCTTTGGTTTTAGGGTCCGGTGGGTTTCAGGGTTTGGGGTTCGAAGGCCCATGCGCCGAACACGAGACGAGATGCTAGTTTAGGGGTTCGGGTTTAGGGCTTAGGGATTAGGGTGAGCCTTGGGTTTTTGTTTCTGCGCAGCTGTTGGCCGCTATGTCTAATTTGGAGAGTGCCTTCCAGTAGCTGCGCAAGATGCGCAGCGTCGGGAATCTCAGTTGGCAAAGGGCTGCAGGTTTAGGGTCCAGAGCATGCTGCGAACCCATCGCCACTCCAGAGGTTGTGATTTTACCCTAAGCCCTATAAACCCTAAACCCTAAATTTCTGAAACCCTTCATCACACACGCATGCAGAGTGAAGCCTGTTTCTATGGGCCCTAGACCCTCAACCCTAAGATGACGGTGTACCTGCGCACTCATGCAGGT